CACGATGAAAAAAAATCATCCTGTATACTGCGTATACTGCTGTGTATTGCGTTTCAATTTAGTCGTACAACTCATTTGAGCGAGCAATTTTATGCTATACTCCGATCACCGAGTTCGCGCATTCAAATGAGCATGCAAGTTTCGCAGTTTCACAGTCAAATTCTCTAACTCATTACGCGGCGACCGGCGGTGAACGCACGAAAAAAGTCGAGTTTTGGTCGCCGTCCAGTTGCGTTCTCCCGGTGACTGGACTATAGATAGTTACTGTCTACTAAACAACTATTATTTAATACCCAGGTAGATAATTTCCACTGATCCCAAATGTGCACAAAATAAAATGTACAAAAATGACTACATCCTATTTTCCTGGTCTAACCGATGTGGTTTTTCTATTCTCCTTGGCTTTATCTAATACCGATGTGGTTTTTTAACGACTAGGTTTTTGGGTTCTAACATAGGGCACTATAACGGAACAGCATAAAGTCTAGACCAACAGGTATGTTAAGTTTTCCTACCGAATGGGTAAAGCACCTATTATATTATACTATCGAGAATAAAACGCGTATTCATCAAATGACCTATGGTAATTTTAGGATAAAGGGGTACCTACCCGCGTTCAAATTGGCTTAAAAAGAAAATCCCCTGAAATGATCGTTATGGTTATTTTAGGGTAAAAAAAAGATACTCGCGTTGAAATGGGTGACGCTCATAGCATTATTATATCGACTTATAAAATATAATGCAATATAATCGTCATGATTGTATAATAGGTTGGAAACAATTTTTTTTATAAAACATGAATAAATATGTTTTTATCATTTATATATTATGGCTTTTCTTTGTGTTTTAAACAGTTTTTTTTTTTTTAATTATTAGTATTTAATTTTTTTCAATTCACTATTAGGTTGGGACTTATAACATTTGATTAATTTTGTGGCTTGACATCGAATCTAGCAGAGTGCTATTATAAAAATTTGAAAGTGTTTTTTGGCTTATTTCGATAGTTTTTTTTTTTTAAATACTGTTGTAGCTGAAATGCTTATTTAAGCACTTCAGCTTATATTATATGTTTTAAGAGCTTTTTAAGCGCTCCTTTAAATGTATTTTTTTTTTTTTTTTGGTTAAAACGCTTTGTTTCAAAATTGATGGGTATTAAAGTTGAGTTTACCAAAATATTTGGCACGATGACAGGAATTATTGTTTTGTTAAGTACGATTATTAAATATTTGAACTCACTGCAAGATTAATACAATTAAAAATTTCTCCATCCACTATGCTAACGTTTTTTTTTTTTTTTTTCTAATCTTCTTTAAACCGTCTTAAACGTTTTTGTATACCTACCGATCAAATGTATTAAACAAAATCACGTCTCGCTTGAAACGTTTCGAACGCACGTTTAAAACGCTCTGTGACCCTGGGTATGTGTAGGTACGCGCAATATATACCACAGGGGCGTAAGCGACACGTCATAACACTGACGAGGGTGACAGATCCCTTCACGCTAACGTGACAATATAATTTTTTTTCCCTTCCGTCTATCTCGGGGCTTGATAATAATGTGACCCGCAGATTCGGTTCGCGGGCGACGATTAATAGCCCACTGTTGTGGCCGCTACGCTCTATTATTACGCTATATGACGCATACGTATACCTATATTATAATATTGTCTTTGTCAGAGACGAATTCGATTTCTATATTATATAATATCCAATACCTTATATCGTAATAATAATTTAAACCCCAACAGCATTAGGTTCAGTAGCTATCATATTGTATTTAGGTGGTGCCGGTCAATAGTATATGGACCGTCATCGTCGTGATCGTGGATTTATCGTCAACCGTCGTTTTTTTTTTTTTTATATATAAACTATAAAGTCTCGTTCAAATTCCCCCTTTCCACTTTGCTCCGAATATCGAAAAAACCAATAAATATAATTACGATATACACGAATCATATTATGACTTTTCGAAACACACTTTTCGCGAAATTTAGACCGCGTGAGACGCGCGAAATTCCGTTTTAGATTCTGAATAGAGCGCATAGGTGTAAGGTAGTCGGATTTGTCGGGGGAAGTGAAGTTTGAAGCTCCTAGCAAATTTTGAATGTATATCTGTGTATTTTCGTGAGGAGCTTCACTTTCCACACCGCTTTTTCACAAATGTATACTATTGATGACAATCATCAATAATAACAATAAATACAAATACAAATACCTACATCAAAGTGCATAATATACCGAAATATGTATTATTTTTATTTTATTTTATTCTGCGTATACTTAGATGTTCAAAAAAAATTATCATTTGCTGATACAATCAATATGTATATAACATATAGAGAGATATATTAATCTCTTTCTAAATTTAACGAAGCCAAAGAAAAAAAAGCGATCTTGAACCATCGTAGATCTTATACTATATGTATTATTCGCCTCATTGATGAAACAAAACGCAGAGAATATTTGTATCTATATTAATTACAGTCAAGTAATGTAGTTTGTATAAATTAGGAAATGTTTCAATTTTGGTGTATTTTTTGGAATACGCTAGTTTGATATTTTGATTCCGATGCATCATTATTCATTAATATTGTCAGTATCATTTCTAAGACAGTTTTTGGCGACCATCATTTCAGCTCAGAATCAATTCAGATCAACATTTTAGTAAATCCTAAAATAATTTTAGCACATTATTTATAAAATCACAAACAATTAAACTATTAAAACGTTCGTTTTGACAGTTACACGTTTTCATTATAGTATGTTTATTTATATACATACTTTAAATTGTTGAATAAAAAATAAATTTTTTTCGTAATTGAAATTTAATAAGTGATCTATAGCCATTGCCAACTTTAAACTTTGCGGGAAAAATCTTGTTTTCAAATTATTCACAACTCCATCTATTGTTTAGTCAGCATGTGTTTTTTAGTAGTTATTTCAAAGTAATTTCATTCTCAGAATCTGCATTTTCGGCCCCAGTTGTTGCTACGAATATAAAATTTCTTAAATACGAATTAAAAATATAGTTGGTTATAATAAAAATGAATACTGCACACCATGAAATTTGTTTCTGGCTGCGGTACCGATACCTTATAATATTGTTATAAATACGTATAATACATTTTTATGGGTAGGTAGGTATTTCAATCAATACCTACCTTATCTACCTTTATTCTAGGTATTCTGGAAATTTAAAAACCCACATTTCTGAAATATTCAAAATGTGTTCAAAATATCAAAATATTTATACCTGCTTGCGACGACATTTAAAAATACTATGGAAATTACTTTCCATTCGACATTCTTGTAACTCGTATTGTGTGTTCTTAACCGATGTAATCTTGTCTCTTTTCAGAAAAAAAAAAAAAATAAATATTTATATATATGCATAGAAAATTTTATATTGTCGTCTAAAATTATTCAATTCTGTATTATATGACGTTACCGGAATCCTGACATTACCCCTGCCCTAAAGAAATCGCCTTACTCTCATAATTTTATAATTATAATAATAACAATAATACGTAATTTATAATGCGTACCAAATTGTACCTATTCAATCGTGCTACCACTGCAATGCGAACGAGTCGGCCGTATCCGCTACCGTTGCTTGCGGTGCGTGCCACCTAACCAATGATGTGGATGATAAACGAATAGATATTGATTTCCGAAAACGATATTCACGAAACGTCGCCGATTCGCGATAGTAATAAAAACTAATACGGCAAACCATAGGCAATCCGTAGGTATATTTAGTGTTCATAACACAGGTGACCTTGAATCACTGAAACAACTTCAAGTCGATAGGATTTTAGTATCGGTTTAGTTAACGGATGCGTCCACCGAAGTGACTGATCGAAAATCGGCTGGACCCTCGGCTGCTAGCGCTCGCGTGATGGTGTTCGCCGACTCGATAGAGACCCCCGAATCCGTATCCCGGTCGAAATATTGATGTCGATAACCCTCAAAGGAGTCTCGCCGTCACTGAAGTATTATCACGCCTGTTTTATCCGTCTGTCTCGTGCGCAGCATTGCATTATAGATATATTTGAGACGTTTTCGTTGAGATTGTGACGTATTAATTCGTACAGCGCGTACACACGTGCGGATACCGGTACGATTCTGGATCGTGTGTGACTGGAATACCCGATGGCTGTAACGTGCGAATTTGGATACCCGGTTTTTACCGGTATCGAAATTTGAACCGCACGTGACATGAGCTATAGACGCTAGACGCTGCAGCCGAATGCGACGTTCCCGTTGGTCGTCGTTATTATTGTTGTTATTATTATTATTATTACAATAATACAATCGCGCGCCTCGCGGATCGCGTAACGTTCTTACCGTAGTCGAAATTCGATTAATTCGTTTACAAAATATTGTCGAAACCGACGAAATGGACGTTAGAACATCGATTATAGAATATCTTCAATGAGATACGGGAGTTTGTTCAAGCACTCTAAATGTGTTTGTAATATGAAAATAAAACGTCTGTAATCCGCGGCAGCGGCGCCGGCTTTAGGCTGCGTTTTAGAACGGGCGGCGACTGAATTCGGTGGCGAAACTCCGGTTTTCCTCCGTTTAGATTCTGCAGGCGGAATTAAAAATGTGATAAATCCAGAATTTCGTTCGTTCGGAACACCGCGTGTATAGAATTATAATGGCGCGATGACAAAAAAAAAAAACGTGGCTTGAGTGTTTTTATTATTATCATCATCATTAACCTTTCAGATAATATAATCGATTTTTGCCGTGTATTTTTTTTTTTCTGCTCGTCGTTTTGATCTCCTACGCCAAACGCTCGGACCGAGAAAAATACGTAAAAAATGACCGTCCGCGAGCGCGACAATCACGCCGTCCGTTTCGCGCTCTTGGCCGGCGCGGCGTCGTCGTCGCGAACGACGTCACCGCGCAAACGGCGCGGGCTCGCCCCCGCGGCGGCGGCGGCGGCGGCGACGACGACGACGACGACTAAGCGATTCCGCAGCAGTCGGCGGCGCACGGTGTGTTCGCCACGCTGTCCAAACTCGACGGTGCACGTTCGTCCGGACGGTCGCGAAAACCCGCGCGCGTGTTTCGTCCCGAAACGTGTAACGCGTTATTGCAACGGCCGCGGTCCGACGTCGGTAATCTGTTACGGCGTGTTATCGTGACATAATATCTATCGTGCGTCCGCCGCGGCGAGATTTCTGGCGGGAAACCGTACTCCCGGTGACGTATTTCCCGTCGGGATCCTTTTCCCACCGAAATCCACCGCGCCTCGCCGTTTCCCGACCGCGAAACTAAGCCGTCGCCGCTCGCCACCCGTCATGACGCGGCGCCGCTCCGCGTCGACAGCGGCTGATATCGTTACCGCGTAATCGCGCGTTCGTTATTTAGTGTTATGCGGTGACCGGGCGGTTACCGTGTCCGGCGCGTGTACGGTGCGCTATCGCGTGTGTGACGACGACAACGGTCGCGGTGATGTCGTTGGCCCGGCTGTCCCAGCGGCCGCGGTACCGGTTTTCGTTGTGATGATACAATGACGTCGGCCGACACCATGTTGTCCACCGGCGGCCGCGGCGGCGGGGCCGGTGCGCCGTGTTGGCTGCTCATCACCGTCGTCTGGTCATTGCACGTGTCGGACGACTCGTCGTCGGCGGTGGCGCTCGCCGCATTACCGCCCGTTATACGCATAGGTAAGAGTGTATTATTAACGAAAAAAAGTTTACAATAACCGGCAGCACAACTGCATAATATTTTGTCTGTCGTACTGTGTAACCAGTGTTGGGCTACAGAAAGGCGAACGATTATCTAGATAAAGATAACGATAAAAGATGAACTGAACAAAAGTTATCTAGATAATAGATATGAGGTAAACATCGTAATTCTTTGCGAGGTGTTCCGCGGCGATTCCATACGAATACAAGTTTCGAGATAAAATAAAGAAACAGAGAGAAACAAAAATAGAACCGTTGTGAATAGGTAGATAGGTGGGTAAGTAAGTTGGTGGTATAATATATTATTATAATGAAGAGCAATAAATTTCCGCTAATCCGAACAGCTCCGCGAGTGCATAAATAAGTGAAAACAAAGAATATTAAGTACGTCGTATTCTCGGTGAAAAAACATTTACAATGCAACAAAACTAAATATTATAATACAATATTATTATTTGTGCAGTAATATTCATGATTTTAATCCTTACGGGTATTCTTCATACAATACGAGCTCCGGGTTCTATTTATAATATTGTTTGTTATCACCTCCCTCACCACTTCCTCATCACCTGTTGTCGTAAAGACGTATAAAGAAAATATTCGCGAAAATGTCGACTTTTTAACGCTCATGTGCCAGTGATATTGTTGACCGATGGGTATAATTTAACTAGAACAATTTTTTTTATCTCCTCAGTAAATTAATATTAGGGTCAATAATCATTAATACAATTTTACCTCCAAGTTATTTTACAAAAGAAGTATGATTTCTTACGTGAAAATTTAACGGGGAGGTGGATATTTATATATTTGTTCACTAGTTAAATTTTACCAGAGCGGTGGGGCGTCAATATTCGCTGGTACGCCGGTTTCGTTTCATGAACAGTTTGAAGCGGTACGCTAAAATATTTGTTGAATAGTGGAGATACTCCGTCCTCGGCGCGTACCTCCGCGCACCTCCGTGCAAACGTTGCAGCGCAACATAGCGAAAAATGCTATCGGAATAATTGGCGGCGGGACGATAACGAACAAGTAATAGGCAATACGCACACCGTATAGAGTAGCTATCTGCCCGATTTCGTACAAGTTTTTTTTTTTTTATTTTTATCGTTTTTCTCGTACACACCCGTAGCGTTTCTAAGCTTTATTCGAACATTTCGTTCGCCCGAAACTATGGGTACTCGGCATGCGTTTATATGTTATTCAATATGTTATTATGATAATGACGATCGCGGAGGCCGTCGTTACGCGGTCAGATTTCACGTAAAACACGCCCGGGTAGGTTTCACGAAAATATTATTATCGTCTCGAAGCGTTTAGTGGTTGTTATTTTATTTATTTCGTTTGTTCACCGGCTACAATATGCCGTGATGTAATTATTTATTTTTATTTATTTTTTTTTTTTGCAGAGGGGCGTATTTTCTTCGGTGCAATTTATAGTATTGTCTCAAAGTCAGAAGTTAATTGGTTGATCTCTTTTAGGTAAAAGACGAACAATTGATATTATCAAAATATCGAATTTTATTGTTCGCGCAGAACCGCACGTGGTCAAATTTTAGATTTTCCTATTCTCCTCAAAAAATTTGTCGGTATGGACTGGAAGTCGATGAACTGGACTTTGACGGGTGATAATAACGGGATCGAGAGTCGAATTTCGGGAGGATTCACTACGTTTCGATTTTTCTGTTATATAAAATTATATTAAAAAAAAAGGAATTTTGTATTTTCTACTTACGTTGGAATCACCGTCATACATATCGCGACACAATGTTGTCTAATTTCGTTATAACGTTGCCATTTACAACTAAATCGTATGAAATGTAAAACATTTTTTACTTTGATCGGCGGTTAACTGCGTGTTTGCCGTTTAACCGAACGGTAATTTATAATATTAAATAATTGCAAATTAACGGTTTCTGAAAATAGATCGAGTCATAGTCTACCTCTCGGAAAAGCGTCTCACGGTTATCGATCCTCGTGTGAGATTTAATCCATGTCGGCTTCTAAACGCTGCTATTGCAAACGAGAACTAAGCCGTAAAGGAGAAAATAAAAGAACGCATTGTTTATTATTATTTAGAAGGTAATTCAAATTCGCAATCTAATATGTACGTAACGACTATAAAATACACAAAACCGTGATTTTGCCGGTGTCACAGAATTTCAGCGCCCTCCATATATTATTATTACCTAAAAGGGTGTAAGGATCACCTCGTAGATAATGCTCACTGGATAGAGCTACAGTGTATATCGCGCGTAACTTGTGGTTGAAGCAGATCTGTTCGGTCCCAGTTGCGTATGCTTCAGAAACGAAATAGATAGCGCGGGACGGAGTAGGAATCACAATCATTGCTGTAGTGGTAACATAATTGCGGTTATATACATAGATAATGAAGCATTTACTTTATGATTATGTTATCTGATCAAAATCCTTATCAAATACGATTGGATCCAATTAAATAAAAATGTATATACAAATACAATGTAAAGTAACATTAAAATTGTTATATTATACATTTTAAGTACTTTTATTCTTATTTTATTCCAAAAAATCTCATTTGAGTATCTTTTATTTAATAACAGTCAAATCTTAGTATGTAAATATTCGTATTTTAATATAATTGAATGTTCAAAAATATATCAAGTGTGTTTTTAATTGTACATTTAAATTATTTGAATGGATCCAAAGTATCAAATAATTACTTATAACAGTCTGATAAGAAGTGCATGACGTAAGAACTAATCTGTGTATTATCTAAGGATCACCAGAAAGTTTTTTTACCACAGGAGGTTATGATCGCGAAAAGTACTGATCTGTATTATTTTAAACTGAAAACAAATAATTGTGTTCATTTTTTCATACTCGTTTTAGATTGCGAGCGCAGTGAGTAGTGTATTAGTTCTACTACGATGTAAGTGCGAGCGTTTTTTTAGTTATACTTTTTTGTAAGCAAAATATTTCTATTATTTTCAAGTTTGACGACCGACACAGACGATAGAGGAACAGAATATAATAATTATATGTCCGATGATATTAAACAGATATTATAGGTGACAAAAATAGTTACACTTTGACAACCACACGGGAAAACCGCAACATTATCGTGACGGTGACATTATCGTTTACCAATATGCGAAAATTACATATTCGATATTGAATTACACACATAGTCGAAATAATGTTATAATAGAAGTAAATAGAGTCTGCAAATTCATTGGGCATGAGTTCAATAATAGGTTTTAGACCGAATATTAAAGGCTAAAAAATTAATTCAAATATTTTAGACAGGGATGGCAATGGATCAGAGGGCTGAATTCTCCCCCTCGCTTTTTACATATATACATATATTGGTATAGGAGGCTTTTAGAGGAGAATGAAATAATTCTCCGAGTATTGTACTACAATAGTACTCGACGAGTGATTTGCCGAAAAAACCCCCGCAAAATTATTTAACGATAAACTATTTAACCTAACGGTATTGTCTGAAAATGAAAATATCTGTATTCTGTAGGCCCCCGAGCGTATAAACTCGGCGGCTATCATTTCTTTCCTGTTGAAATACTACTGAATAGGTGTTGGGTCCTCACCGATAATAATTCCGTCGACGCCGCTGCCACCACCGTTACCGCCAATTGCTGTTTTTCCGGCTTTCTCGCAATCTTGAATAACGATCATCGCGATGATATTTTATTCAATGGCGTCATTTCGGAATAATAAGTGAAGGCATTCACCCCACCCTAGATTTGTATGGGCTTGGAAAATGTTTAGTGTTGACCAATTTCAGTACGGCTGATCTCATTGCAGGACATGGTACATATTATATTATTATAATCACGGACTTAGGACCGTTCTCACCAACATAAACGTTAATTTTTAAATTAGGATTTAGGATATCGTTTACTTTTTATTTTTGCTATTATATTTAATTGTATTATAATACTATTTGATTCTACACGGCGTTGCCCGTGATGGATTTCAATGCCCGTATATACACTTCCTTTGAAACTCCACTAAAAGTTAGCACTAAGCTACATACCATTTAATAAAGTTATTTGAGTTGTTTTGATCAAATATAAAACATATCCACGGATACCCACGCCAGGTATCCGCTAGCGTTCTACTACGTTAAAAAAGAAATACATTTTGTTTATTTGTTAGAAAAAAGGAAATTTTGTTTATTTATTAATTCGTTTATCTTAATGTTGGCGAATAAACAGAATTAATGGTCCGAATGTACCTAATGCGTTGTTTTAGTGGTCTAAAAATGGTCTTCACATTATTGCCTTTTATAATGAAACCGGTTTGGGGCACATCAGTTGGACTTTGAAACCAAAGTCTATAACGGACATAGGTAGACACAATTTTTTTTATTTTATGGATATAAGTAGATGAGCTAATACCAACATTAATTACTTATCTATATCGATATTTATTTATTCTCGTAAAACCCTGTTAAAGCTTCGCTCAGTTATGTTTTTTATACAACTATCTACGTAATCTGAACCGACTATCGAGTATAGTTATAAACCTTTAGTTTATAATATTTGTGTTGTTATTGTTCTGCATCTCAGTGTTTTGAAAAATTATTTCTTTTGTTATTATTTTTGAGATCTTTGTTTAAAATAGGTTTACTCGTTAATAGGGTTTTACAAGTAGGAATGAAAAATTGAAAATAGAATTAGAATAAAACTTTTGAACGGTTCCACGATTGAAAAAACACAAATAAAATTCACTTAAAAACCCCCGAGGAAAACGCCGGTGTGTGTACAAATGGATTACTCTGTATTAACGATTCCTACATTGCGATATCGTCAAGTATATAACTATGTGGATTATCATCGATTATAATCAACAGTATTATTATAAAATATTAATCTGTCTCGAAAACGGTTTGGTACTTATACTGTATATTATATATTGTGTTTAATCAATATAAAACGAAAGTTTATAATATTAGTATTGTATTATTATACGAAAATATATCAATGTATGTATATTGTATAATGTATATAGTATGTACATATTATATTGGGTGTATATTGTATTATTGTTGCGGACGCAGAGAGAGAGAGGGAGAGAGAGAACAAAAAAAGAAAAGGGATCAGTGTAAATAATGTCAGATAGAAATATTGTTAGTTCAGTTGCCAAGAAGAAAAGTAAGTGGATATTTTTTTTTTCCATTGTGTTTCACGCTGTAGTGGTCGCGATCACTGGAAGAAAGAATAACAATAATAATAATAATAATAATAATACTGAATTAATTTTCGAACTCTTTCAACGATAATCGGACACTCATTTAAATTATATCCGTACAACGGACGCGTACTATAATTTATACTTATAATAATACTTACTAGTACTACAACTTTCACTGTAACAACTACCACCAGTAACTATTAACTTACTGCTATTATTATGCTCCGCGCCGGTATTTATATTGGTCGGTAGACGGTTATATGTGTATATCACGATGAATCGTTGGTTTGCGAAAACGCGGACGACGATGATGGTTTTTGTATTTTTATTCAGTCGTTAGTTTCACTGCATTACAGCATAATTATAATATATTGCTCGCATTGTTTCGCGCCGAAATCTCGAAAAAAATAATATCAAACGCCCCCTCCCCTCTCCCCCGGAACATCTACTATGCAACATCGCTAATATTCTTAAGAGCCATTGTATTCGCTCAGTTTTGTATATTTTTTGTTTGTCGTATTTGCATTTTATTGCGCGAGTTCAGTAAACCTATCCGTGAGCATTTTGATATAAAATATCGTAATATGTAAGACTACCCGATCCGGATAAGCCTATAAATAAAGATAAAACAAATATATAATAATATATTAAAACGCTTATTTTACCCTTTTAATGTTTATGTTCTAATGTCGTATGTAAACGAATAATATATATAAGCACCAAGTCGGAACGTTTTCGTAAATTATCGTCTGTCTTCTATTTAAATTATTTCGGTATATGCGCACTATTATACGCATTACACACACCCACACACACCAAAAACAAAATGTATAGGTAAGTAGGTACTCAGTATATTATATACTCGGCACTCGTGACTTTGACCGGGTCGTTTCAAATGTATACATATTATATACAGGGTCATGAATGGAATATGTGTATCTAGGAGCTGTAACTGGAGACGTAGCATTACATTTTTTATCGAAATATACTGAAAAGTTCTTCGAACGTTTGATTTTCTATGTATTTTTTCGATCGTAATTAAGTTTTGATATTGTAATCATTGGTGTCGTTCAATTAAGAATTAATTAAATCGATGACATTAAATAAAGACTGTAAATATGAACTAAAATTAAAATAGGTTTAAAATGTTTACAATAAAATATATTTATCGATTGTGAACAATATTGATTTGTGGTCTTGTACATTTTTTTCCCTACAAAATATAGCAAAGAAGTATTAGACAAAGTCAAATCATTGTTTAAAACAGAAATATTGGACTCATGAGGTTACAAGAGTCTGTTAATTTCATTCCAATTGCTTGGTATTTAGGTTAAATGAAAAAAAAAAAAGAACCTCTTTAAATGAAAAAATAACAAAAACTGTCATTGACGTAATTTTTGACCCAAAATATGATTTTAAACGTTTGTTTAGTGTCTGGTCAACCCTTTAATACTGTAAGGAAAGGTGTACAGTATTTAATTCGTTAGTTAATTTTAATATAATTTATAATATTCAGTGTTACAATACAAACGAAAAGGACAAACCGAACAGTTCAACCGACAAAAGGGTTTATGATAATTGATTCGAGAGTATAAATCATACCTTACAACTCATAACTAACCGTAGCTTGACCTTAGAATCATCGAATTGTGTAGATGCTACTACGCTGATAATTTTCGACGAATTATCTACAATTATTTTTTCAATAAAACGGTAAACTGATTAAAATATCACTCATACTTATGCAGATAAATACGTTATGTATATCAAGAATATAGCGAACTAAAAAAATGCTAGTAAAAATAAAAAAAAAAAACAAAAACAAAACGGACATACTTCGCCCGATGGGTGGGCCACTAAGAAAAGATAAGATAGATCGGGAAGATAGAGAAAAAATTTAATCTGTGTATTTGTACGCAACAATCAACCATTGTTAACGAAAAACGATTCTGAGCGGAGTTCTGTTGTACATGTTTTGAAAGGCCGTATTTACGATTTGAAAATAATACATTTCGTAAATATTCCCGTTTTTAATACGTTTTGTCCAGGTTTTTCCCATTTATTATGAAAATTTTAAGAAAATCAAAAAATGTCTTTCCTAAAATACCATCCCAGTCCAATTTATTTTCTGGTAGAAAAGTGATTGACACACAACAAAAACAATTTTAATAAGCTCAGCAGACGTTTAAAAGTATACAAGGAGTGATGAATATTATCAAATAATATAAACATTTTTTTTTCAATCCATAGATTGGTTTTTAATGAAATGTTCTCCCACTCCTCCCTATCCATAGAAACTTTTTTCAATCCTCCGTAAGATCATTTATCTAGATTTAACATGATTTGCTTCATATTGTTTTCCCTCGATTTCTCCTTCAATTATAAATGTTACACATGCATTTTTCCTTGGGAGGTGTCCTATCCAATTTTCCTTCTCACTTTAATTGTTGCCCATATCGATCTCTTTTCGTGTGTTTTCCGTTACACTTTTTCATTTGACACTCGTTCTGTCCAAGAGATTTTAATAAAATGATGACCATAATACGAGTTTTTCAATAATCTACTTCTCGATACACATTTATGAGGAAGAAGTACGACTGTTTTTACTGACAATTATGATTTATGACGCTTAAGAACAATGCGCTGGAAGAAAATTCACCCACCATCACTCGCTCAATTTTAATTTTGAAAACATTTTAATGGTTTGATTCCTTATCAACAATTTGTTGGAAATATTTTCCGATTTTTTCGTTTAAATATACAATGAGTTTACAGTTTTTCTTAAAACAAACTAGTACTTAAGATGTATCAAAAAAAAGCTTAACATATTTCTCTTAAAAGACAGACGAACTCATATAGTTTTTCAAAACAGAAATTTCACTATATAAAAAGTATTATTTTTATTTTACCGTATTAGTGTAAAAAAAAAAAAAAAAAAAAAATAACAATAATAAATATTTTCTCACTTAACTAATATTATGGTTTTAATTTGATTCGTTTATTATTGTCATACTTATTTATATCGCTACCTATATAAATTATATTATACTACTTCAAGTGTGGAAATTTAATTAGTTTTATATTGACTGCTGCGCGCATATATATTGCATTTCTACTAATAAAAATAATTAAATTTTCAAAATATTTCGACTTAATTAATTATTATATTAAATATTTTAACGAACAGAACTTTATTATAACTATGGAGTAACAATAAACTACCGTTTAGAATTGCGTTTTAACTTCTCATTTTTGCCGATAAATTATTTGACGAAGAAATGATTACTATAAATACGTAATAATTATCATTATATTCACTCTCAGTGCACTGGTTATTGTTATTATTAATTTTATTTTAATTAAATCCTATAAGAATAGGATTTAAAATTTTTGTCATTAACCGCCGAAATTCTTTGAAAATTTTAAGTTAATTTGATTTAATTTTTTATAAACAACAGATTTTATAGACAGAAAAAAAAAACGTATTATAGTAAAACAAATACAACTAATTCATTCTAAATGTAGCGATGAATGTCTCGCTTTTACAAGAAAGTTCTTATAGAATGTCTGACTGGAGCAAGATATTTGATGGAATAGTTGTTTACAGAAAAAAACGTAAAAATAATTTTAAAATAGTGACTTGTCGACAATAGGTACCTAAATTAAAAGGTGGATTCGGATATACTTTCAGAATTCGTGTCACGTCAATACATCGATCAGTGACCGACGATCTGCGCCGAAAATAATTTTGAATTACTATGCTGCGTATGTGTTATTGATGGAGAAAGAAAATACCGGTATTCAAAAAGCCTTAACGGCCAACACCATTAAATTGTTACACTGAAAATGCGCCAGACTGTCCCCTCATAAATAGCTGCCCCACCGGCAGTAAATCTTTCTTTGCAAATGTAAATTTAACGTATTTTACTCGGAAACGTCGAGAAGTTTCATTATTATATTGTAACTTGATACAATATAATAATAGTATAGTAAATAATTGAAAATATTTTCCCGTTTTGACATTTTTAGAGTAGTTTCGTAATGAAACTGATCATGGCTAATGTTTAATTAGTCGAATTTGCTCAATGCTGTGCATATTTTATTATTAATAATTTGTCGGGCCCGAGAAAAAAGAGCTGAAGTCAATTCCGTATAAATTTCAATAGAAACCAATTACATTTATCAGTAAATGGCTAAATTGACATACGGCCTAACCTCAATTTTAACCTGCATTTTAAAAGGCTCAAGTTGAGTTTACACGAATTCTGCATTTTTGCCAAAAATATGTTTTAATTAAAATAGCACGTGTTACGATATGCATACATTTACGCCATGCACTTATGCCATTTA